ATTATGCCAAGTTTATTTAGATGTTCCTCAAGATCCAGTAACGTGTGTACATCAATCTAGAGATCATTTTGGGGTCGAGTGAAAGAAGCATAGAATAATGCAAAAAATGAGTGTTAGCAGTATCGCAACAAAAGATCGGTGCAATCTCGAAAGTTATTGAGAAGAATATAAGAAAATTAAATGGTTGTGTACGTCAAGTTAAAAATTTGCATCCTAGTGGTGCTATAGATAAAGATATTGTGAGTATTTATTTTGTAATTATTTATACTTTATTTGTATAAATTTACTTACAATTTTTTTTTTAAAAATATTGCTGATTAATCAAGCAAAAAGTTTACATATGCAAGATCTGAACTACAAAAAAAGGTTTAAATTTGTTCATGTGTGGGATATGTTGAAGGATTTTGAGAAGTTTAAAGATGTCGATGCTGGAAGAAAAAAATTTTGAAAGCAAGGCTCTTCTTATATATCATCGGAGTCTGAGATTACTACTCCTGACTACTACTTCTTATATATTGATGACCCAAATATTCATGAACTTATTCGACAAGAAAAAAAACGAATAATGAATAAAAGAAGTCAACAATATTTTAATAGCCACAACCACAACAAACCTCTGCCCCATACACTTAATACTTTAACTAGTATTAGTACCCGCGCGGATGCGCGAACACTAATCATGTCAAATATTTAAGTTATTTGGATTGTATGTAATTAATCTTAAAATTTACACTTTCTCAGTAAATATAGATAATCATTGGATATTAACTACGTGAAAAAATTAACCATTTCTTCTATTTTTCTTTTTTGATATCATTCTTGCCGGTGTCATTGGATCCTAAAAATAGTCAGGAAGCAAAATAATAACTCATATTTATGGCAAAACAATCAAATGTTGAGACAATGAATGACTCTTTGGATAAGACTTAACTCTTTTACTACTACTTGTACTCTTATTTAGTGTGCTGATATCTCTTAAAAAACTATTTTACTTCTTAATATATTTATTGTTTTTGCCATAAATATGAGTATTATGCTGTATATTTATTGTATGATATCCTTCTTCACTCGGTGCCCTTCTAGCACCGGTTCTCCAAACTCCAGTATATTATGCTGGACCGGTATACTTGCTAGAACTCCAGTATATTATGCTGGAGTTCTACTTATGCTGGAACTCCAGCATAATATATAGTAGCTAAATAATCCCAACGTGTTACATAAGGCAAATATTGTATAATTGTTCGGTTTTCCGCAATTTTCTCCATCCCTCTATGTAAATAACCCAATATTGGTTCGCAGTCGACAACATCTTCACCATCTAGAGTAACGATGAGTCGAAGAACACCGTGCATTGATGGGTGCTGAGGCCCCATATTGACTATCATGAGGTCTTTTCTTGTAGTTGGTGCAGTCATAAGTTTTTTACCGATTCATTCTTCCATGAATTGCTGAAAGTGAAAAGAAGTTCATCAAAATTTAATCGAAACATATAAGTGAAAATGAAATGACTCTTCAAATAAATCAAATTAACGAGTTTTTGTCTCTCGAATGTCCAACTGATTAATTAATTCTTTATAACGTACTCTATTTTTTTTTGACAAATAAGCTAGCAGTCGTTGACGTTTTCCCAAAATTTTCTTCAAACCTCTCTGAGATAAATAGTCTTTTTTGTGCAATTCTAAATGTGAAGTAAGTCTCCGTATCTTATTAGTGAAATTGAATACTTGAAANTTTTCTTTTTTGATATCATTCTTGCCGTGTCATTGGATCCTAAAAATAGTCAGGAAGCAAAATAATAACTCATATTTATGGCAAAACAATCAAATGTTGAGACAATGAATGACTCTTTGGATAAGACTTAACTCTTTTACTACTACTTGTACTCTTATTTAGTGTGCTGATATCTCTTAAAAAATATTTTCTTCTTAATATATTTATTGTTTTGCCATAAATATGAGTATTATGCTGTATATTTATTGTATGATATCCTTCTTCACTCGGTGCCCTTCTAGCACCGGTTCTCCAAACTCCAGTATATTATGCTGGACCGGTATACTTGCTAGAACTCCAGTATATTATGCTGGAGTTCTACTTATGCTGGAACTCCAGCATAATATACTGGCGTATTTTCCGGGTTTTGAACAGTGTTTTCGCTCAGATTTATCTTTACATGAAAAGTGGCTAAATTTCGATTACTTTTGAAACTGAGTTATTTTTGAACGACCAGTCGTAAATTTGGCTATTTTTGAATTTCACCCTTAAAAATTGGTGAAGGGTTAGAGATGGTGTTAGAATTAAAATTTGACGTAGTATTTGTTTTTTCAATTTGATAATAATTAGCTTTCATCTATTCTCCAAATTTTGTTCTCCTCCAAGTAGTATAGTATGCTTCTCGCTCGAACAAATGAAAAACAAAACAAGAATAAAAGAAAGAATTCATTTTCTCGTGATAAAAAACGAATTAAAACGGCATAATGTTGTATTACTAGTAAATTTATGATGACAGAACCAAATATAGTGATGTATACAACGTTGTCTACTTTTCCAGAAAAAAGAAAAATTTGTCCCTTTCAAAATGACCTTTCCTTTTGCTTTCCTTCCACTCGGTCCCCAATTTATTTAATCATCTGACATCTCCCCACAAATTCCAGTAATTAGTATTCTAGGGCTGTGCATAATTTAGTAAATACCGTATTACCGTATTAAAATCCAAAATTTTGGTATTTGGTATTCGATATTTTGGTATTTAGTATGATATTTGGTTTAAGTTTTACAAAATATTGTTATTAGGTATGGTATTTGGTATTTTAAAATGAAATACCAAAATACCGATACCGTACCGAAATATATATTATATTACACAATACACATATTATTAGTTATAACATAAATATAAAAGTCTAAAATTTTACTTTCCTTTATTCTCTAAGTTCATCAATTAACTCTAAGCAAGTAACAAGATATTTCTAATGATCAAGTTTATTCTTTTATGTACAGTTTTCTCTCTCTAAGTTGGTATTTGCTAGTTTTGGACAAAACTTTTGTCAACAAATGTTTTTAGTTTTGTACTTTTGAGTATGTTAATTTAGAATATTACAGTCTATGACTCTATGCACTAGTTAGTATTCGAACCGGATAAACCGTAGTTACCAAACCGAATAAACCGAAACCGAAAGGAGAAAAATCGAACCGTACCGAATTTAATTAGGTACGGTATTGGTATTGCATTTTAAGAAACCGATACGAAAAATACCGTACCGTACCGATCGACGAACACCCCTACTCCCTTCGTCTCAAAATATCTTTCGTGATTTTTAAAAATAATTGTCTTAAATTATTTATTATTTTAAAAGTTCAAGAGTAAATATTATATCTTAAAATATAAATAAAGGTGAAATAGTCAAAGAGCTTTCTTATTTAATATTTTCTTAAAAAAGAAATACTACAAATAATTGAGATGGAGGGAGTAGCAACTTATGATTAAAAACGGTTAAAATATCATGGTATAGCCCGTTTTCACACTGGTCAATAAAAAATAGCCAGCGTTTATCAAGTCAATGAAAAATAGCCACTATTTTGCTGCAACAGAGACCGGTCCAGTATAATATACGGGAGTTCTGGTGCATTTGTGTACGAACTCCAGCATATTATGCTGGACCGGTATACTTTGCTAACTCCTGTAAAATTTGCGGGAGACTGGAGCACCAGTGCTCCAAACTCCAGTATATTATACTGGACAATTATACTTGCTGGAACTCCCGTAAAATTTGCGGGAGTTCCAGCATAATTATCCTGGAACTCCCGTTAAATTTGCGGGCGTATTTTTCCGGATTTTGAACAGTATTTTCGCTCAAATTTAAAGTGGCTAAATTTTGATGACTTTTGAAACTTGGCTATTTTTCAACGACCAGTGATAAATCTGGCTATTTTTGAATTTCTCCCTTAAAAACGTGGCGGGTCCATTACTTCGTAGAGCCCCACATTGACTTTTCTTTTTCTGTTAATTTATCTAAGTCGGGGAATTACACGACAACTTCTGTATTTTTTATTCAGAAAGTATACTATATTTAATGTTGCTACTTTTGTTTTTTCTGTAACGTGAACTCCACATATAAAGTCCCTGCAGGTGGATCTCAACAACGTTCGCTTTCAAGTATTCGTTTTTCTTGTTCTTTCTTTTTGTTTTGTTTTCTTTCGGCTGTAAGCGTATTCATTTTTGTATTTTGATTGTGTTGTTTCTTTTTAAAAACAGAACAAATTAAATTTGTTTGAATAGAAAATAAAATAATAGTGCAGGAAAAAAATATTTTGTTTCGCGAAGCATTTCTGAACATTGTATCATGTGCCATGGAATGATTACATATCAAATAGATTACATATGAGTATTTAACTAATCAACATCATTAAAGTTGGAATGATTCCAAATTTCCAATTATACATCACATCATGTAGATTACATATTTGACTAGTAGTGGAGTAATCGATATCGTTAGCTGTTACCACACCAAAACTTAGAAACTAATAATATACTATGTAGTCTATCACACAATATTGACCAAACATCACTTTTAGCCCGTGGTCGAAACTATTTATCTCCGAAACTATACATATATATATATATATATATTCGGCTAATATTTTAAAAGCGGATATATAGTGTGTCATTTTTTCCCACCATATATGTGAGTTCAAGTCTAGTCGTCGTGCCTGATTTCCTTTCATATTAGTCTCTTGTCCACTAAATTTCCTCTTTCCTAATTTATGCATTATTTTAAAAGTTAACTTTTTATTTTTATTTTGACTATAAATTCGAATATAAATTTTTTAAGTTTTTAAAAAATAAAACTTACATATTTAAAAATTACGTAAAAAGTAATTTAAGTTAAAAAATATTTAAAAAAAACATATGAAAAATTATGGTCAAAGAAAGTTTTAAGTCAAAAGAAAATTTTTATTTAAAAATTTTTGTTTTGCTTTATGTTTGTTGATCATGCAAAAGCTGCAGATAACAGACAATAACGAATGGAACAGGTCCAAGTCCGGGTCTGCTTCCTGTCTGTTTACGCTTCCTGTTTCTTTTTTTTTTTTTTTCCCTGAAACAATGGCAATGATCATATCTATCAGTTTATCAAAATCCCCTCAAATTATATAACCTAATTCTCCTCACAAATCCTCAACCTAAAGGCTCATTGCACTTCCTTATACTGTAAATCTATTTTGCCATTCTGATCTTGTTTTATTCATTTCAATTGCATTAGGAGCTATTCTAATTATTAAAAAGCGAACAATAACTGTTCACTCCATTAAGTATTAGTTCAGCCATTTCAATTTGGTTTTGGCGAGTTTAATCAAATGGCATTGTGAAATCATTGGGCTGTCAATTCGTTAATTTTGGTTCCAAGAAACAGCGCCATTTCCAATAAATGGCGCTGTCGAGACACTTCTTTTACCGGAAGCCGCCTGATCGACTTCTAGAGATTTCTGAGCGTGTTTATGGTACGCCTTTTCTCACATTCTTCCCCATTTCTTCAATCTTGCATTTTCCTGTTTTGGGAGTTTACAAGTGGTAATTTACCTATAGGTTCAATGTTTTCTTCCCCGCAGTAACTTGGACTTAAATTGTTGAGTATTGGAATGAACGGGTCCAAATGAATGATCACCGGACTAGTTCGGAATTGAGACATTGTAGTAGTAGTAGTAATAGTTAATTTGGGCTTATTTTGCTCAATCATATGATATTTCATGATAATTTTTCTTTATTTTTATAAATCATCATTACCGGTTAGCTAAATTTGGAGCTACTTCTGATAATAGTTATAGTTTAGCTCTAGTTTCTCCAGTTGTTTGAAGTAAATGAGCTGCAAAATGACAGAGCGAAAGAAATGCAACTTCATGTGGAAAATGTTGAAACCTCTTGCCCATAACTTGGTGGTTGTGAACATACATTATTTCATATTCTGGTCGAATTTGCTCAAGTACCAAGTTACATGTTTAAGTGATTTCCCTTGAACTTACTTTGTCGTCTCAAAGAAGGATGATTTCTTGGGTTCGTTTTGTCAGTATTGATGTTTTTGTCTTCTTTTCCTCTAAAATTCATGCTTGCAGTGTTCGATTGTTGCTTCTCTGGCAACGTATTGGATGAAGATGAATACAAGACATATATGGGAGAGATTGTAGCTCAGTTACAGGACCACTATGCAGATGCTGCTTTCATGGTTTTCAATTTTAGAGAAGGTGATCGAAGGAGCCAAGTATCTGACATTTTGTCCCAGTATGGTATGACAGTCATGGATTATCCTAGGCAATATGAGGGGTGTCAGCTATTGCCATTGGAAATGATCTACCACCTCTTGCGATCGAGTGAGAGCTGGCTTTCCATCGAAGGCCAAGATAACGTCTTGTTGATGCACTGTGAGAGAGGAGGGTGGCCTGTTCTTGCCTTCATGCTTGCTGGTCTTCTTTTGTACAGAAAACAATACGCCGGTGAGCAGAAGACTCTTGAAATGGTATATACGCAAGCTCCTAGGGAACTTGTACATCTTTTGTCACCTCTGAATCCACAGCCATCTCAGCTTAGATATCTCCAGTATATCTCCAGAAGAAATTTCGACTCAGATCGGCTGCCATCAGATACACCTTTTTCGTTAGATTGCGTCATACTTAGAGTCCTTCATCTATTTGATGGTGGGAGGGGCTGCCGACCTGTAGTTCGTGTCTACAGTCACGATCCCGCTTCAACAATGCATAATAGAGGATCTAAGCTCTTATATTCAACATCAAAGACAAAAGAACATGTTTGCCTCTACCAACAGGTAACTCCAAGCTTAAAATTTGAGACTTGAAAGGTACTTAGCTGAAATCTGAAGTGTCCTGCTGACTCCTCACTGCAGGAAGAGTGTGCGCTGTTGAAAATAGATATCCGCTGTCGTGTCCAAGGAGATGTTGTTCTTGAGTGCGTCCATTTGGAAGATGATCTATTAAGGGAAGAAATGATGTTCAGGGTCATGTTTCACACAACATTTATTCAGTCAAATGTTTTGACGTTAACCCGTGATGAAGTTGATGTCCCATGGGATGCACAAGACCAACTTCCAAGAGAGTTTAAAGCAGAGGTTGGCTGTTTATTTCTCTGACTTAGTTCTCTATAATTCATACTTTTTCGTCTACTAAGAAGCTATAGGACTTGAAGAATACTCATACCTGTACCAGGTGCTTTTTTCGGGTGCTGAAGCTGATCAATCTATCATCACCACAGAAGCACCATATGAAGATGAGAATGAAAGTGAAGGCGCTTCATCTGAGGAGTTTTTTGAGGTGGAAGAGATATTCAGTGTTGATGGACAGGATGGAAGGGCCGAGTCTAATGCCTATACAGTTCCCAATGGTATGCAGGATGATAACATTGAAATAGTCTGGAAAGAGGAGTTAGGGCGTCATGCTTTACAAGATTGTGGGTCGGATGGGGTAAATCACAAACAAGAAAGAAAGATGTATAAGCAGCGGGCACCAAAAAAGAATAGTTTAGGTAATAGGGATGAGTTAATGGCCTCAAAAGTTGTGACTTCTAATGTTACTAGCAACATGGAATCAAAAGCTGTAATATCTGGGGCTAGTGGCATGTCAAAAGAAGGGGAGAATAAGCATCGAGAAGGCACTCTTAAACAGAAGAAGTTTGAGCCGCAGGGTTCACAACAGGAGTTGAGTGGTGAAAGCAATAAACAAAAGGATGAAATGCCACCCTCATCTCTAAAGAGACAGCTATTATCCAACTCAAAACCAGCCGCTGATGGGCTTGGTCCAAAAAATAAATCTAAACAGCAGGAATCTCAGTGCACTCCTTCAAGACTGGCGAAGCCAAATGCAGTATCTCGGTGGATTCCTACTAATAAAGGTTCTTATACTAATTCAATGCATGTATCATATCCACCATCAGGATATAATAATGCTCCTTGTGGGCTTGCTCTCACCAAGGATTCTCGATCTCATTCAAAATCTAAATCTCCATCTTCTCGAGCTTCTGTAAAAGCTATGGTTCCAGCTGACGCAGGTCGTGTTCCACGGAAAAACTCTTCATGTCCTGCATTATTAGACATGTTAGCAGTCCAAGAGGCATTGCTTACTAAAGACTCTCTACGAGCATCAGCTGAAAGCCAAGCCATGCAATTTCTTCCATCTCCTCCAGGTCGTCCCCTAACTCCTCCACTGCCTCCATGTTCAAGCACTTCATCTTATAGAGTTCCTCAAATTCACGGAGCAAGGACAAATCTACCAGCTTCTGACATCCTAGCTCTGTCTTTGCAGGAAAGCCACATTATTAAAGCCTCTGTGACTCACCAATTACCCCCACCTCCACCACCTCTGCCCCCTCTGCCTCATCCATCCCTGCCACTTACTCGTAATGCCACATCTTTATCACCTCCACCCTTATCTCAACCTCTACCTCCTCCTCTACCTACATTAACTGGCTTGATAACTCCTATTGGTACCTCTCGCCCGCCCCCATCATCGCTTCCCACATCATCCAGCGTTCTGAATGCTGCTACCTGTAAGCTCTTGCCGCCACCCCCTCCACCACCCCCGTGGTCAAGTGGGGCTTATGCAGCTTCCTCTGTAGCATTATCAAGTTCATTGCCACCTTCAACTCCACCTCTATCTCCACCTGTATATGCTGACACTGTATCCAAACCTGATAGTTCTGGAACGAATTCTCCATCACCACCACCACCTCCCCCTCCTCCTCTATTTGGTGCCCCTTCTCCTCCACTTCCATTGCCACCACCTTCTCCACTAAATCCAGCTAGGCATAGAGTTGCTTCTTTGCTTGCTCCACCAGCACCTCCTCCTCCAACTCCACGTCCTCTTTCACTTAGTGCTTCAGCTCCACCTCCCCCTCCACCACCTCCCCTTCCTTCACGTGTTACTCCAGCTCCACCACCTCCACCACCTCCACGAAGTGCCCCACAAACACCATTTCCACCTTCACCTCCTCCGCCTCCTTCATACAACAATCCACCTGCACCACCTCCACCTCCAATTCGTGGTCCTCCCCCTCCTCCAACTCCATGTTATTTCCCTGGAGCACCATCCCCACCCTTACTGCCTCCTTTGTGTGGATCTGCACCCCCACCACCTCCTCCTTTGCCTGAAGCTCCACGTGCACCTCTTGGACCACCTCCTCCTCCACCTCCTTCAATGCGAGGGCTTCCTGCTCCTTCCCCTCTTCCTAGTGGTGGCCCTCCTCCACCTCCACCTCCAGTATGTGGAGCACCCCCTCCTCCACCCCCTCCTGGAGGTTATGCACGAGGTGTACCTCCTCCACCCCCTATTGGAGGAGGCGCACCTAGTCCACCTCTTCCACCAGGAGCTCCAAGACCTCCAGGCGGTGGACCTCCTCCGCCACCACCTAGGGCACTTGGGAGAGGCCTTACTGTAGGGAGAGGGCAGGGGCTTTCACGAACAACAGGCAGTATAGCTCCTCGGAGATCTACCTTAAAGCCGTTGCATTGGAGCAAAGTAACTAGGGCACTAGGGGGTAGCTTATGGGAGGAACTGCAGAGACGTGGAGAGCCTCAAATGTATGTTCCATGCTTTTGTAGTTTAACACTGCCTATGCTCCATTCCAGCAAAATACTGATACCCTTTTGCTCCAATTCTAGTGCAACAGAATTTGATGTGTCAGAAATTGAGACTCTTTTCTCTGCGACAGTCCCCAAGAAAGATGGCGCCGGAGGCAAATATGGAGCAAAAAAGTCAGTTGGATCTAAACCAGACAGGGTTCACCTGGTAATCGACTAATTTAATACCTTTTCTTGGGGGATATTTTTAAAAGGATCTGAATTTTCAATTAATGCATTTGTCTTGATAGTATGATATTTTATCCAATGTGCTGTCCAGTCTGTTTATTTTTTCTTTTTCCTGTACATAGATTCCTATTGCATGATACTTTTCGTTCTTCTTTGTAGATCCGGTATTGGTGTTTGATGGAATTCCTTTTTTCTCCTTTATTGTTTCTTTTAACTTTGATTTATAATTCCTCCTTGTGATGGGCTTTTCTCTGTTGTTTTTGTTTAAAAGATTGATCTAAGGAGGGCTAATAATACTGAAATTATGCTCACTAAGGTGAAAATGGCACTTCCTGACATGATGGTGAGTTTGGTATTTTCTCTTCAATGTCATTATCTCCTTAGTTGTCATTGTTGAATGCTCTTTTTTATTATGAAAGAATAATAACACCTTGTCCTGCAAACAAACATGCACATAGAGAGATTGTTTTCACATTTCATGGTAGAATTATATGCTGTGTTCAGGATAATGGGAGCTATATATTGTCAGAATATTGCAAATTTCATTTCTTATGGTAGTAATGCATGACACTGCCTTTGGTTTCTGTATTGAATTTTAAATTGCTTATGGCCAATCGTAGAAGGGATATCTTATCTCTTACCCCCTCAGTTTTGTTGCTTTCTTCTATTATTCCGCTGGTTTGGACCATTTCTCTGTTTCACATAGTTAATGTCAAGAGGCTAGAATACATATACAAACAAAGGCTAGAATGCATATATTAAAGCAGGGAAAAGAAAAGAAGTTACTGGGAGGAATGCTTCATGGGTCCATAACACCCAGACTAGGATTTTACAGGGAAAAAAGAGAGTGAACTGCTGAGATCTATCTTAAATGATCAATGTCTGGTCAAACCACTTTTTCAAATCCAGCCTTTGTCTAGAAAAGCCTGCATTTACTTTTTCTGAAGCCATTTCTTTCCTGTGAACCTTACACTCAAAGCTTGTTTTAGAGTGTTGTTAAAGACTCAGTTGACACGTGGTTAAACCCGAAATCTAGGAGTAGTGCAAGGAGTTCGCATTTCCTAAATGATGCTTCAATAAATTCACCAAAAGGCTAAGGCATGCAACCTTCACTGAATGCTTCCCTTTAAATTACTCTTTCTGCTTAAACCCAGCAGACCTTGGGCCTTTTTTATATATTTTATTTTATGTATACCTTTAACAAATCGATATCTATTTTTAGACCTGTGTGATTCTCTTTTTTTTTTTTTTTTTTAATATTGTTGCTAGTCTGGATGCTGTTCACTAGGTATTTTGTTTCCTATCTTGTTACCCAGTAACAACGTTTATCTATGTGGCTTACAGGCAGCTGTGCTGGCAATGGATGAGTCGATTTTAGATGCTGATCAGGTGGAGAATCTTATAAAGTTTTGTCCTACAAAAGATGAGATGGATCTTCTCAAGGTGAAGCAAGCCAGTCTGAAGCTCTTATTCTATTAGCTGTAACTTTCTTGTTCTATATATCCTAAAGAACCTTTATTTCTCGGCTCCTCTCTGTCTCCACTCTTTGGGTTGATCCTTCAGCAAAGTGTTTTTGTTTTTAATTATCTCTTGCTATTATAACTGCTCAGGGTTACACCGGTGACAAAGAGCTTCTGGGAAAGTGTGAACAGGTTAGTAGATTTGATATTATATTCATTTGCAGGTTTTATTTCTCTCTACTGTTATATGTTGTCATAGATGCATTTACAAACCGAAAATGGGAGAAACAGGGAAATAGTTGAGTTTAGTTTGCAGTAATATCCGATGTAGTGCGTAAGTTTGTATATGATGATTGGACGTTAGGTTGAGTAGTTTAACTTCCATTGTTTACTCTGACCTGTCAAATTAGCACACTCAGGCAAAGAAAAAAGTTTCTTGTACTATCAAAAAGTAGGAAGTACCTCAGATGGCTCTTTTGTTTCATCTTATAGCTGAAGATAAAGAGAGGTAGGTTGGTGAGGGGTAAAAAAGTTTAACAGGGCTCATATGCAATTTTCAAATTAATGAATCTATTTTAATTATCAAAAAGAAAGTTCAGCTCAGAATAGCTCTTTTCCAAGAATTTATTTTAATTATCAAAACGAAAGTTCAGCTCAGACTAGTTCTTTTCCAACTTAGAATAGATCCTGTAGACACCTAATTGCAAATGAGCTTTGCTATATGAATTGGGCAATTTATGAGGAGTCTAGGTACATAGTCTTTCTTAAGCTTACTTCTTCATTAGATTGAGTGTTTGTTAGGCATTTTTATGTTTTTCAATAGAAACAGAGGATGGAACTTATTCTGGGATTTTGTATGTATCAATGAATATGGCAACTGTATCCCAATGTCACATGGATTGTCCACAAACATGAAATACACCATTTTAAATGCTACCTTTATTTATAAATGAACTTCATTAGTTTCATATTTAAAAGAACACATGTAACGTTTCCACTTTTGATATGTCTTAGAACATCTTTTTTTTTTGGTTGCAAAAATGGTCTAGCAAATACTTGATTTAGTTCAAAATAGGTGATGGTGATCACGCATATGCTAAAACTCAATTGGATTTCAGAAACTTATCGGAATTCGTATTCCATGTGAATTTGGGATACATTTGTCTGTATGCTTCAACCCATAGAATCAGCATAGAATAAGCAACAGAGAACGGTCTAGTTTTCGACGATCAAGGCTATGAGCAGATTGTTGGATACACAAATTGCAGATTGGGCGAGATCACCGATAAAAATAGTGTATTTTCGTTAGAGGTAATTTATGTCTTGAAAAGCAAGAAACAGAATGCAGTTTCTCAATCTACTTTAGAAGCAAATAGGCAATGGTTGTGGCAACTTTGGAACTAATTTCGATCAAACATTTACTCAAAGAATTGAAGTATGTGCATATTGCATCGCATCCAGGTTTCACGAGTGAGATCGATACTCTCAGGTATCATTGTCACAAAATTTGAAGTCAAATGATTAGCTTGTAGATATTGTCACCAATCTCCTTACTGGTTCTTGAATCAGCTACATCAGTAACAAGCCGGGTACATAAAACTTGTATAAGCTGCTTGAAGGGGAGTATTAGATAATTAATGTACATAGTTAAGTTGTATATAGCTATACTTACTGTTAGCATCCCACATCGTGGAACATGATTATATAAAGTGTTGATATAAAAGGATCCAGCATAACATACACTTGTCTTCGCTCATTCCGCATATTTCTTCTTCCGTGTTATATTTCTCGTAAATATGCTGTCATTTTTGTTATCAATTTTAACATGAGTAAACATCTTGGACCTATCTTCTGTTTCGTGATCTGAGTGTATGTTTAGTTTTTTTTTGACAAGGTCCTTGGCGCTTTCTGCGTCGGGGTTCGTTAAAAGAACTAGCATAATGGATACATTGAGTTTATGCTTAGCTAAAAGAACTAACACAATGGATACATATAGAATTATTAATATGAGTACTCTTACTGAGCCGAGCTAGTGAATTTTTCAATTGAGCAATTAAATGTTTGAGCTCAAGCTTTTATCAAGCCAGCAACAATTGAATTTGAGCATGATCTGTTTCTCAATTGGTTTGCAACCTTACTTTAGAAGCCCTTGCTTGTAATAGATATTCATGATAGCTTGAATCTTATTGGATATTCTTCCTATGAAATTATTTTAGAATGATTTAGGTCTGATTAATGATGTAGTCCCTTGTTCCGTTATTGGTTTGGGGAAATTCTTCTAAATTTTTTCCCTGCCATCCATGATCTTGTACTTGTAAAGATTGGAAAAGCAGCTGACACTGGTTTTGCAGTACCTTTTAGCTCAGATTCCAATGCATCAGTGGCTTTCCTGATTTTACCTTTTGTCTTTCAGTTCTTTTTAGAGCTGATGAAGGTGCCACGAGTGGAGTCAAAATTAAGAGTTTTTCTCTTTAAGATTCAGTTCAACTCTCAGGTATGTGTACATCTAGAGATCCTGGCTGAAGTATTCTTGTGGAGATCTGAATTTAGCTTCATCCCAGGTCTCAGACTTCAAGAAAAGCTTAAACACCGTGAACTCTGCTAGTGAAGAGGTACTTTTACAGTTTCTGCATCTCTTCTTTGCTCTTCCATTTCTATCTTAGCATTTGCATGAGTCACTACGCTTGTAGCAGGCCCGAAACTCTCTCAAATTGAAGGAAATTATGAAGAAAATATTGTATCTAGGGAACACATTGAATCAGGGAACTGCCAGAGGTAGGACTCTCTGTCCTTGCCTGATTACATGCATTTTATTTTTTAACCATTGATGTCCATCCTTGTCATAGAGATTTTACAATCGTTCAGCTATCTTAAATGTGAACTAAAACCGAAACTTGATATTCTACATGTATGGTTAATGTAATTGCTGCAAATCTGGAACCGAAGACACTCTAGTTTGTATACAATGCTTGCTGAAGTTGATAACAATGATTGCTTGACCTTGCCATGAACAAGAAGAAGAATAACGATTTTTCTATCTAGATAAGTAGAATATGGGCTTTTACCCTAAAAATGGTGGTTGGCTTCTCATATTATGTAAAGAATTCATAAAGGGAAGTCACAAGTTTCATCCAGTAGCGGAGCCAGGATTTTCACTATCAAAATTTAAAGAAGTAAATACACGAAGAAGTCAAGGGGATTCATCACACAGTGTATATACATTAAAAAATTACCCATCTAAACAGTGTAATTTTCCGACAAATGGTTGTCAATTGACACCCCTTGGAGCAGTGTGTCTCCGCCACTGGTTTCATCATGTTTCTGCTGATTTTTGAAACGAAAAATCCGAATACATTTAAAATTTTATCAATAAGCAGAGTTACAGAATCCTTCTGTTACCAAGAAATTTTGAAAAGAGTTCTGTGTAAAATATTTCTTTAGATAGATAACTGTGAGCTTTAAATTGGTACCTAACAGACCCAATTACCAAGTACGATTAGGTGTCTGGCTTGACTTATACCTTCATGGACTTCAATTATTAGATTGAATAATACTTGTTGCTTGAATTTCCAAGCCTACTAAATTACTAACAAGGGCTTACTGATTGATTTGTTCCCGACCTAGATCAGTTTTCCATTTTGGATATCTGGAGAACAGAAGCATATATTTTGATTTGGAAACGATAGTTGCTCTTTGGAGTATAAGTGCCGACATTTTTGGTTTCTTGGTACTATATTTTGCAATTAGCACATATTGCTCTCATCTTATGTGGCTGAAGTAGTTCTGGTGGAACTTAAGGAGGACCTGACTACAAACTTAGGATGTTATATTTCTATGTGGTCAAGCAGAAGTATATCGAATTTTGAGACTGAGTTCCCTGTACATTCTTATTCCAGGTTCTGCCGTTGGATTTAAGCTGGACAGTCTCTCAAAGCTCACTGATACACGTGCTACTAACAACAGGATGACACTCATGCATTATCTTTGTAAGGTGTGGATTACTCTCAATTTCATTTTTTCTGTTCCCAAGTGTAACACCCCTGACTTTAGGCAGAGTCCCACATCGGCAAAACATAAGAGGGATGCTGGGTATATAAGTTAACAAGCCTTAGACCCTAGTGACACGTTTTAAACCCGTGAGGGCCTAGGCCCAGAGCGGACAATATCACTAGCGGGCTGGGCTGTTAAAGATGTTATCAGAGCCACTCTTGTGTTAGCCATGCCGATGGTGGGTCAGAGTTCAACTGAGTTTAGGCAAATCCCGGTTAGGCGGGGCAAACCTCAGTGCTGAGTCTAGGCAAATCCCATGCGGTGGGGCAAACCTCAGCGAGGACGCTGAGTCCATAAGAGGAGCGGACAATATCACTAGCGGGCTGGGCTGTTAAACCAAGGAAAGCTACTTGAGTTAATACTTCCCCCTCTTTCTTATTAGCTGTTCTCAGGAAAATGGTCTCTGTGGTTCACAGTCATCAGTATACACTACCTCATGAACACACTGTCTGTTTTAAATCTTCTTCAATATTTCCTGAAAGATTTCTTTGCACCGGTTTACTGTTTGGCAACACTATGCAAAAACTTAGAGGATAATTTGGGTGCATGTGGAATTGCAGGATTTTCTACGTCTGAAAGTACTGCAGATATGAGCCCCAAAAAAGAGAACTTTTGGGAACAAATCGGGTGCAATCTTTAAGACGTGCGACAGAAATTGCGGTAGCTTCTAGGGTTAAAAGTTTTCCCAACCAATGTATGACTCTAACCTGCTCTAACACTCCCTCGTATGCCTAGACCGCCACTGGAGCGTGGACAAGATAACATGGGGGCCCAAACAGGGACGGACCTGACTCTGATACCATGGAAAGATATGGACCTTGGGCCTAACTCAATATCAAAAAGCTAGCTCATGAGGCGAGGAATGCCCAAGTCCATATAAGGAGACCACCAGCCCATTCCCCAACGAATGTGGGACTCTAAGCCGCTCTAACAAAAGTGCTGCAGATTCGGGGCCCAAAAGGATCGAAAATTGTTGAATTTATGTGTTATGATCGAAAAATGTTGGATTTGAACCTACGACCTTACAGTTGGAGCTTCGACCAACCAAGAGAGCAAAGTGGGAAAGAGCCAGCGTTTGGCTCCTGGGGGGTTTTAGGAGGGTTTTTTACCATATCACTAAAAGGGATTGTAAAAGGGTATAAGAAGACTTTAAACAATAAATAAGAGTGGAGTATTAGCTCAGTAGTAACTGAAGTTCTTTGTTCACCAGCTCAACTCCAACTCAACAGCCAAAACATTCACGCGAACACATGCAAGCTCGTAAGTCAGGTCAAGGTAGTTATGAGGAAGCTCGGGGACTGAAGGTATGAGCTCAATGAAAGCTGGACGCAAGTGGCATTTGGTGGTGGTTACGGAGCATCTCAGTTAGGCAGCTAGCTAATAGAAAGAGTGAGTTCATGAGCTCATTAAGTGCTGTAATTAGATACAATACATCCTAAAGCATAATTCAAATCCGACCATGCACGCAAGTCATAATACACAATATGATGTCGCTCAAGACCTCGAACCACTGACCGGAACCTTAAAGCTCAAAACGACCGGTCGGGTCGTTACAGCCTTATACAATTGTGAATACCATTATATTTTTTGGTGTGATTTGACTTGGCCATTCTTTTGTTTTGTTCTATCGGCATGTAATGCTTCTTCGCTCTGTTGTCTGGACATTTTTGTAGCTGAGAATCTCTTTCTTTTTCATTTACTCTTTTACTTAGATATCCTATCCCATTTCTTCATGGCTCTTAACCCTCCTCTCTAAAATTAGGTGTTATCATATATTGTTGCCTTTGTTGATAATATCTCTTTTCTCTCAGGTTCTTGCTTCCAAGTCACCAACTTTTTTAGACTTCCATGAAGATCTTGCAAGTGTGGAAGCTGCATCAAAGGTTATTTTTCTATCTCTTTCTTGCAATAATTCCTTTTATATTTAATTAGGATAAGTTAGAAAATAGTTTCACCTTGCAGATTCAATTGAAATCTTTGGCTGAAGAGATGCAAGCAATCATCAATGGACTGGAAAAAGTAAAGAAGGAACTGGAGGCATCTCAGACTGATGGCCCTGTGTCCGAAACTTTTTGTAAGGTATGATGGAGATTGTAAGTCCTCCATAAACTATGTCTCAGTATTTTATGTGTGCATATGTGCAACACCTCCCAGATCATGTTAGGAGGGCTAAACTTTTTTGTTCTTTCATCTGAGATTAACATGTTATTGCTTGCTTAGGACATCTCTTGAATGACCTCCAGTTACAACCTTTGTCTCTAGAATCAAATATTTGGATTGAAGTTTTATACCATTTGTTGCCATTTGTCCTCTTTAATTGGAACTGCAAGGCCTTTTTCTTTTCTTTTGTATATTGTCCCCTCCTCACTCCATCTCGCTCTCTGTAAGGACTGACTTCAAGATTTTTTTTTTTAACGGAAAAAAGGACAAAACTACCCCTCTACTATCTTTTAGTTTCTAAATGTGTCCCCTGTTATACTATCCGTCCCCACTCCCCATTTACCCTTACCTTTAGGAAAAGTTCTAAATTTGCCCTCATTTTAAACGGCTTGACACGTGGAGGCTTCTAATCAAAAGACCCACCCCATAGATTAAAGGAAATTACCAGCTATGTCCATTTATAAGTAGCTCATTACAAAAATTGTCCAATTGATAGAATATTACTAATATTAGCCAAATTAGCCAATTAGCTATTTGTTGCAAAAAAATATCAAATTTTCGCTTTGTTTTGAGTGAGTGTTATTAGAATAGATTGGGCACAACTTAAGGAGCTTAAATCTCAATTTTGGGATGATTTGGTGAAGTTTTGAGGTGGTTTGAATTAAAAATTCGAAGTAAAAGCTGAACATGAAAAAAAATAATATGTGTATCACACTGTGTATCATTTGTGTATCACATATGTATCGTATTTGTATCAATTGTGTATCACATGTATACTTGTGTGTGAGATACATGCGTGATACATGTTTGATACATGTGTCGCAGAAGACTTTTTTGAACTCGATTTAATTACGAATTTTGATACAAAACCAGTCCAAATCACCTCCAATCTTCCTCAAATTTTGTATATTGACTTATCTATATATTTTCAATGAATTTCAACTATACCCATTAAAAAGTTCCTTTTTTGTTTAGATTTTTGGAATATTGTATAGATTTTTGTATTTCATCACCTTATTTGCTACCCCGTCCATGAAATTTCCTTTCCGTCTTGTATCTAATGTTGCTAATCACGCTTAAAAATATAAAAGGTGATTTTTGCATGTGATTCTTTGAGAGAAAGAACCCTATTATTTGGTTTTTAATTTTTGTTGGCTAGTTTAGGTAAGTCTATGACTAATGGCTAGAGGTTGGTAAGTTGAGATTTATTTGGGACATTTGTGTAAGTTTCCCTAGATTAAAAACCCAGCCCCGTTATTGTAACCCATAACCCGACCCGACCACATTCACATTATAACCCCCAAAAAAAGGCTTCACTGTAGCAGAAAAGCTGCGATTTTTAACCAAGAAATATGTTCTTTTTGGTTTTTAAGCTTGGCAAGGAAAGAGCTGAGGACAGTGCATATTGCTGGTGTAGGAAAGGGTCGGGGAGTGAAGGGGATATGGAGCTGGAAGAGGATATTTTGGCTTTCATTGAGATATCTAAGAACCTAGATGCTTTTCCAACAAGGAAAAACTTGGAAAAAGCTGGAAGAATGGATTTGGTGGAGGCTATAAAGAACAGAGGAGGGTGGTGTTTGTTTGGTCGGAACTATGAGGATGATGAGTGTAACAGTTTGAACATTAATTAAGTTGAGAATGTGGAAATGGATTTTGACATTGAGGAGTTTCAGAGAAGAGTCAAGAGTTGTTAAGATGGTGATTTATTCCATGGGAATGAAGCTCATTTTCCTAGTTCTGAATCTTCTTATTCTTCATTTGGGAATTCTTCTCAGCTCCCGCATCGTCCTCTGGTAGATCCTTGTGAGGTTCCTTACATCGAAATGTGCTTTCTTCTGAACCCTAATCTACTTTAATGGGAATGTGATCAGGTCGGGTTATGGGTTAGATTAATGGGGCTGGTTTTTAATCAATGGGTTGGGTCTTTTGATTAGAAACCTCCACATGTCCAGCCGTTTAAAATGAGGGCAAGTTTAGAACTTTGTCTAACAGTAAGGGTAAATGTGGGCGGATATTATAATGGGGGACACATTTAAATAATAAAAAGTAGTAGAGGGTATTTTTGGCACTTTTCCCCTTTTTTAATAAGTAGGACTAACTTCATGCATAAAGCCAATCAAGCAAAAAGGTTGGCATTTCATATAGAGGTCAATGTGATAAATAAAAGAAAAGAAAGATATACTTACGACGTGCTGATTTGATGAATGCACTTAAATTCTATTCTTTTCACTGTTCCTGTTAAATCCAACAACCAGAGTTTGTTAAATATTTGATATAAACCAAAAGTGTTCACTTTTAGCGAACTTAGAGGACCAAAGCTGCTCGGGAGTATACTTAATGGAACATTTTGGACCTACCCTCAACCATAACCTCAAACATAAGTAACCATTTTGTCATTTTCTCTATTTCCTCTATTAATAATTAAGGTTCTTGTACAGACAGAGTACAATATTTCTGTGGTAAGTACAATCTTGCTTTTGGATGATTTGGCTTAGAAGATAATAGAAACATAATGTTGATCTTCCTCCTACTTGTTCGCTAAAAGGAAAATCAGCTTTAGCTTCTTTCCCCTTTAAAGCTGCAGCTGCATTAAGATGTACTAGCACTATTTGGCCTTTTAAATGAAATTGAATGGCTTTAATTTTTTTCATATTCCTGCTTTCCTGAATTTTCACTCATTTAACAAGGGTTGATCAGATGCTATACTATGACGTTTCCAATATTTATCTCCTTCAAAAGACGTAAAATGCAAACCCTTGTTGGTCCTTATGAGTTGTTCTATTTTAAATATGACATATCAGACTTTAAAAGAATTCATTGAAGTGGCTGAAGCAGAGGTGGGCTCTGTGAAGGAGTTGTATTCTTTGGCGGTAATGTCGTCTGCAATTTATTTCTATTTCTCATTATATTACCAAATCATTTTATCAGTGGCTCATATGTTCTACTGCTGTAATTGATGCACAGGGCAGAAATGCGGATGCACTAGCACTATATTTTGGTGAGGATCCTGCCCGCTGTCCGTTTGAGCAAGGTAGCATATTTTATTCCCTCCTTGTCTCTGTGTTGACAAAATTTAGCTTATGGAAGTGGTCAACGCGAAGAGTTTTGAGCTAATGAATGTCCTTCAAAATTACAATACTAACCACAAGAACATTGTAATAGGAGGTGCCTTACAGGTTGCCTACTGCTAATCTACTAGGATATAGAAACCATCCTAATTTACCCAGTCGTGTTTTAGAGAAAGATATGTCTGGATTTAGGTTAGTGCTGTGACAGGTCTTGAGTGTAGCAAAGTTTTCAGACTGGGTTGATCTGGTATATATTGGCTTTCTTGTAAAGGTTGCCCTGTCTAGGGCTCTGGCAGACTATTTAGGAAATTAGTGGAGATAGATCTAAAGCTGTCCTTCTAGTTAATTAAGCTAATATGACTAGTTATTTTGTGACACTTCAACTTCTTTGACAGTCAGAATCAAAGAGTTGATGAAACTATATGCTCCCTCAATTTTAAAATGTGAAACGGCACATTAAAGCCTTGTTCAAATCACTCTTTGTTTTTTCAACACGGGACAAATTCCAAAGATAAAACCATTTTGTGATTAAACATTGAGATTATGTAGCTCTTTGTGTAAGAAAATTTTCCGATTGTACTGGATCTTCTTTTCCAATTTAGAGATTCAATTTATTGATACCAACTACTATAACCAATTTCAGTGTATATTTTGCCTTTTTCCTTTTTTCTAAAGGGCTTTTATAGGAAAAGTGGGGTAATATAAGATCATCAACTGCTTGGATAGTGTAAAATATGTGTAGCTTGAGAAACGAACATAGATGTGTGTGATTTTAAGCATGTATACGGTGTCGTAATCACATTGTAAAGGAAGAAGATTTGAGAATGAATTGCTTGATCATTCCTCAAGCATGTTGGGCTTTATATAGTGTTTACAAGTGATCTTAAAAAGGAAACTAATTCCTAGTACGTCCTATTTGTATTTTCACAATTATAGTGATTCTGAACTTTTCCTACATATACAAGGAATAGGCTCTTGCCATATTAATAATTTTGTAATTCTTAACGCACATATTAAACTAATTATACTGGAAGCTACGTAGGGCTAACGTCTGCGTACACACTACCTTCCCCAGATCCCACTATGTGGGATTACACTGGATATATTGTTGTTGTTGTTGTTGTTGTATACTGGAAGCTATGTCAACAAACACTAATTCATCTAGAGCTTCAGCAGAAGTAAGAAGTTGAATAGGGAAGTCATTTTGTTGGTAACATATCCAATATATTTTTTAAATCATGGAAACCAAAATTTACATCTTGAAGGGCTAAAACAAAAAGCAGAAACCAAAAATCTGTTCTTCTTACAAGGAGCCTAAAACTTCTGTGGTTGAATCCTAACCATCCATATATTCTTGTTTACACCAAAAACTAAAAAGAAGAATACAATTCATCTTGATCTTCTGTATAGAGCTACTTGTATCTTCAAAGCATCTTGAATTTCTCTATTTCCAAATAGTCCACCAAATAGCTGCTGGGACAACTTTCCATCTGTCTTTGTTAGATGTAGAGCTTCCCCTAGTGTTCCAACTAGACAAAAGGTCATAAGTTCTTCCTGGCGTTGTCCATCTAATACCTCTGAGGTTGATGAATAACTCCCACAATTAGCTAGCTAATCTACACTGTAAAAACAGATGGCTAATTGTCTCTGCATCTTGTCCACACAGATAACATCTTGAACAAATTGGCAATCCTCTGTCCTTAAAAGATTTATTGGTTCCTACTATGCTATTGGACTGTAATTCTTTAACAATGGTATACGTGTTGTCTTGCCTAAAACGGTTGAATAAATCCTGTTGGCAGAGATTGGTATTTCAGTGAAAGAAAAATCCTTGGTCTAAAGAAAATGAAGGCAGGGATCCATGAGGCTATTGGTTATTTTGTATGTGGACATCTACGAATTTCACTCTCTTGTATAATTTAATACATGGCGCCAATTACAATCAGCAGTTTTATACAGCCTGACTAGATTTTTTCCTATTTTAGTTTCTTATGATTGGACATATAAGACTGAGTATCGTTTTTGTTAAAGAAGTTAAAATGCCAATCTTTTAGGTTTTCTGTTGTACTTGCCACAGTTTCTTTCGTGGATTGACATTATATTCCTCTTCTAGTCAGCACGATCTTTGATATCCTATGTGGAGGTTTTGTGTATTTTCCTGTGTTTTTTTTCTTTTTGGTTGAGATTGGTCCTCCGTCATTTCAGGGAGGTTGTACCACCTGCTTATTATTACATGTGATAGATTTACTCAACAAGTGTGTTTATGTTGTGCACTGCACTTCAATTTGATATGCATTTAGTGTCTCTTGCGTTTGTCTTCATATGCTTCATTTATGCCTCAATGTTGTCACTGGTATGTTCATGTGAGTGTTTAACATTTTTAGGTGCTAATGCTTTTCTGATTGGTATCTGGGTGATAATCTGTGCAGTCGCGGCAACGCTCTTAAATTTTGTGCAGTTGTTCCGCAAAGCCCACGAAGAGAACAAGAAACAGGCTGAATTGGAAAAGAAGAAAGTTCAAAAGGAGGCTGAAATGGAGAAAGCAAAAGGAATTAATTTAAAAACAAAGAAGGGTGTGGAGTAAATAGGAATGATTTCGTTGTGTTCCTTGAGGGAATTTTGGTGTCATGTGGTTTCTCTGTCGGTTAACAGTGTTGGCTGAGGATGCTCGTTCAAATACAGGCCAGAAGCCTCCGACACTATTATAGTGCTGCAACATTATCTGGATTCAGAAAAGGAAGTCCGACGTCGAGGCTCTTTTGAACCTGGAAATGCGTTGCAGAGAGGAAGCTGGAACTCATTGTTGTCCAGGCTTTTGGATGACGCAAACAACCTGTTGGTTATCCAATGGATCACTTGAAATTTGTTGCTGTCAGGCGATCATGACTGCGTCTAATAATGCAAATTTAGGTATGCATTAGCGAGCCAACATGATGGACTCGACGTCGGCACAATGTCGTCCATGGTCTCGGCATTCACCATTGACAGCAATTATGCCACGTAAACTGTACATTGGAAGCTTAACAGGGTTTTTTACTAAACTCCAACTCTTGTATGTAGATTCAAATTTGATTCTTTTCATTGTAACATAGGAAAAGGTTCCTAGTCATTTTAGATTCAATGAGACACCAGGAAATTGGTTGTACACAAAGCATAGAAGAGATAGGAAAAGGTTCTGTTAGTAATAACGGCTTAACAAAATGTAAGCAGTAGACGAGTTTTTCTCCTTCCCTAGATTCATAATTTTGAAAATATTATGATATATTCATTTATTAATGGCAGAGAAGTTTCTGCATTTCTTTCTCCTTTTTTTTTTTGATAAGGTAAACAAGTATATTAATGTGGGGAAAACTCCAGTATGCAAGCCTTATACAAAAGTAGAGAATAACATATGCATTTTTTTATAATGGAAAAATCCCCAAGGGCCAATGGCGCAGGTTTCGAAACTCGATAGAGAATGGGTCTGACCCTCTACCCTTCTCCACTTAAATATCAGGCATTGTCCGGGATATCTACGTTTCTTTCTTGTCTGTTATGCGTGGTCTAATGAGTTCGTGACTCTTTGATGCTCTGGACTCCACATACGTTACTGGTACAGCACTTTGTCATCCGATAATCTATTGCCTGCATATCTAGATTTGATCTTCGAGGTTGAGGATGTACTATCTAGGATCAAGGAGATTGAAAAATTTATACTTATGTTCTTTTTCTTTTTCATATAGCAGAAGTGCATAACCAAACGGAAATCTGTGAAGTCGTTGACCTACTTTTAAAACTCCACCTTAAAAGATAGTAAGCAGACTTGGAAGACCAGCCAAACTGGTCCTTAAATATTTTCAGATGACTATATTTATTTAGGTTCTATTTTTTTGCACTTAATGCAAATTCGGATTTGAATTGTTCAAATCTCAGCTATTAAGTGCATTAAATATTTTTTCTTTCATAACCTTTATTAGCTCTTACTAATAGGTATGGACAGTTCAGATATACTCCTTTCGTTTACTTTTACTTGTCCCCTATACTTAAAATATATTTTCACTTTTACTTTTCTATTATACTAAATTAAAAGAAAGACAATCTTTTTTTTTTTTATGTTTTACCCTTATCAATAACGGCTTATTTCCCAAGACTTTTGGAAAATACTATCATTATTATGGGTAAAATTGTAAAATACATGTTTTATTTATATTTTCTTATAAAGAAAGTGCAAAGTCAAAAGTGGATAACTAAAAATGAACGGAGGGAGTATATAGAATCTAAAAATCATTAAGAGGTTCACCTATATATTTCTGTGAACGCAACACTCATTACTATATTTATTACCACCGTCGACCTCTATTACCACCGCCAACCGCCTTCACCATTAGCCACTACCACCAACTATCTCCGTCACTAGTTACGACCATTAATAGAGGCAAAGTTACGATTTTGAGTTTATGGGTTCTAAATCTTAGAAAAAGCATCTTATTGGGTTCTTGATAACTTATTTATACGTATTAAATGAATATTTTTATGCAAATATATGATTAGAGTCAAAGGTAATAGGTTTTGCCGAACCCATACTTAGGCACGTAGTTCCACCCCTGACCATTAACCACCTGTACCACCTACCTCCCTCTCACAATTATCGCCGCCAACTACCTCCACCACTAGTCACTACCACCAATCATCTCTACCACTAACTTCGATCACCCAACTAGTGCCACCAACGACCTCACCGCCAGGCGCCACCACCACTATGAGCTACCACGACACATTTATCACCTCTTGCCACCATTACGTAACCATCAGGAGACACCATAACACATTGCCAGCCTCCTTCACCAGCCACCACCTTACGACCATCATAAGCCACCGTCACTTCCGGCTGCCGCATGACATCATGCTAGTTCTCAGAGTGTGATTCATCAAGGAAACAATTCATACAACACCTTGTAAATTAATATTTTTTTTAGTTTTTATAAATATAATAATATGATTAATATATTTAAATCTTATATTTATTAATTTTTAAACAAAAATAAATTTAAACATTCAGCGGTTGAAAAAACAAACAGTTTTAATTATTCACTGTTCAATTCTAAATGCAATATTTTAATATTTATATGTGTATTCAAACTGAAACATATAAAAACAAAAGAATCTTTAATTGTCGTACTTAAACATTAGATATTTGTTTTCTGTTTCAAATAATAATTTAAGTAAACTATCTCTTTTTAATTAAACTCCAAAAAATTTCTTTTGTATTTTCGTTGTTGGAAAATTGATTCGAGGAGGGAGTGGGAAACAACTAGCCCACACCATTAAAGAGGAGGAATAAGGTCTCCAAATTTTTGGCTTTCTGCACATAATGGTTGCAAAAATGTACCTTCGTTCTTTTAAGTAAAATTGGTAGACTTGCATGTTGTTTTGTGAAATAAAATCAACTTTTAGTCAAATAGCACAAATAAATCAGGAATTACTGACTTTCCACTAAGGTAAATTATTCAAGAAGTAGTTGAAATCATCTTGTAATATAATGAGTGCTAGTAAGATATCAGTTACAGATGGTATTAAGCGCGTCATATTGGACAAGGGAGGAGGCTGGAGCACATTTACATTGCACCATGTATTTTGAAAACCAAGAAATTCTTACATTATCACTTAAAGATAACCACAGGACTAATCTTGCTCTTCAATGCTTCCACCTTAAATTCATATATGGCATACGTCAGTTATATCATATGTGCCAATTCAGAGAGTGAATAGAGTCAGGAAGTTAGTTTGTTAGTATAAAGGTATATTTGTCATTTACTATGAAATTTAATTAGTTGAAAAGGGTTTAGGGCTACGGAGTACCAGTTTTTGTTACACTTTCAGTTAGGAGAGTTAGGGCATTTCATTTCATTTAATTATTGTGTACAAAGTAGGGGATCTTGTATTGTTGGGAATTATCGAAAATAATATCATCTCCATCTTTCTCTATTCTTCTTGTCTTCAGTTTTCTTCTGCAATTCTTGTTTAGGAGCTATCCTTTTCATTTGGTTCCTTAGAGATTTGCGACTACTTCCTACGAACCAGTTTTGGTACTAACAATTTGGTATCGGAGCTAGCGATTCTTGGCAAAGCACAATGCCGGAGACGACGAAAAATAGTGAGGTGCGCCGTGAATTAAATAAATCCAGAGAGAAAGATCGTATCTTGGGTGAACGACATGATGATATGATTGGAGAAATCCGACAACTGATAGCAGCCATGGCTGTTAACAATCAAGCCCAGGCAGTCATTCCGGCGGTACCCGCAGCTCCAGCACCGACAGTTCCGGCAGAGGATGGGGGAATTCCAGCGAGTGGTGGTGGTCATCAGATGTATGGGGCTGGAAATCGTAATCATATGAATACTCGATATTCAAGAGTGGATTCCCAAATTTGGTGGTGATGATTTGCGAGGCTGGGTGTACCAGTACGACCAATTTTTTGATGTTGATGGGACCCCAGAGGATATGAAGGTGAAATTGGCCTCGATTCACATGGAAGGCGGAGCTCTTCGATGGCACCAAACATTATTGAAGTCAAGATTGGGTAGGGAACTCCCAAATTGGAATGATTATGTTCGAGCTTTGCATCTTAGGTTTGGGCATACTCTGCATGCGGATCCAGTGTCTGAACTAGTAGGTTAAAACAAAGTGGGAGTGTTCATGGATTCTTAGATGAATTTGATGAGCTGTTGAACCAGGTAGATTTGACAGAGGAATATTCCATCAGTTTTCTGAAGGGACTAAAACCTGAGATCGAGGTTCAAGTTCGTATGTTGGCACCAAAAACCTTAATGAAAGCTTATAGTTTGTCCAAATTGGCTGAGCAATCTTTAAAGTTACAGAGAAGATATAATCAGTCAAGTATTAGGAATTCTCGACCCTTACTTCCTGCTCCAAGTTCTTCGTGGAATTCAAATTCGAGAAGTTATCTTCATAGCCAAATTCCTGAGGGCAGTAAAGGGTTTGTGTCAAGAAGATTGATAGCGACGGAGATGGACGAAGAAAGGGCCAAGGCGTTGTGTTATTGGTGTGATGAAAAATACACCCCTAACCATAATTGCAAAAAGGGGAGGCAGTTATTCATTCTCAAAGTGGATGATGAGGTTGAAGAGTTGAATTTTAAATATAATTAGGGGGAGAATGATAACCTTGAAGAATCCGCATTGAACCCTCAAATGTCAGCTCATGCAATGGACGTCACAATGGATTACAGAACTATGAGAGTCAAGGGATCTTTCAAAGGTAAAATGGTTTAGATTTTCATAGATTCTGGATCAACATATAATTTTATGGATGTAAATGTTGCGAAAAGGCTGGGCATTCAACTAGAAACAATCCCACCATTTTCTGTGGCTGTTGCTAATGGGAGTAGAATTAACAGTTCTTTTATGAGTAAAAAAGTCAAACCGATAATGCAGGGGTAGATTTTATGGCTGACATGTTAGTTATACCGTTAGAAGAAGCTGATGTGGTGTTGGGAATCCAATGGCTTGTCACTTTATGGGATATCATATGGAAATTCAAACAGATTAAGATGGAATTCCAAATAGCCAGGAAGAAGATTACATTGAGGGGAAGTCCACCTAGAGAGTCTAAAGTGATTGATGGTGAAATGATGCAAAAATTGTTGAATAAAAGTGCCCAACTAGTATGATGACAGTGACCTTTGTAAAGCACACAGCTGTTCAGAATCTGAATTTATCATAAATGCGGTTGAATGGAAATGGTAAGAATTTACCATATGATTTACAGCAATTACTTGATAAGTATTCTCCTATTTTTTATGTTCCTGGTGAATTGCCACCTCATAGGAGACATGACCGCATAATCGTATCGAAAGATGGGGTTTCTCCCATTAATGTGAGGCCCTATTGTCACGACCCAATTTAGGATTGTGATCGGCGCTTAGGAGCAAGTGCTCCCAAGTAAGCCTCATCGGTAATTTTACAGAAAATCGGACAGAGTTTTCCTGTTTTTGGACCATCCCAAAAAAGATTTCCTGCCTCAAATCAACAATCAAACATCCTAATATCATATCAAACAGTTGACAACTTGTCAATTAACCAAAACAAGTCTCCACCATAACTAAACCACCAACTAACCACTAGAAATACTAATTTATCTCCAACTTTGATAAATGAGAACGATACTCAACATAAGACTATAATAACAAAAGAAATACTCATGACACTAAAATAATGACTATGGAGCGACTCTAAGAGTTCAAAGAAAAGAGTATAACAATAAATAAAATCTCCGCCCACACGAACAAGTGCGAGGCTCACCA